TATATATATATATATATATATATACATGTGTGTGTATATATATATATATATATATATATATACATGTGTGTGTATATATATATATATATATATATACACACACATGTATATATATATATATATATATATATATATATATATATATATATACATGTGTGTGTATATATATATATATATATATATATATATACACACACATGTATATATATATATATATATATACATGTGTGTGTATATATATATATATATATATATACATGTGTGTGTGTATATATATATATATATATATATATATATATATATATATACATGTGTGTGTATATATCCATCCATCCATTTTCTGAACCCGCGTTGTCCACGCAGGGTCGCGGGGGTGGGGGGTTCCTATCTCCAGCGGTAAATGGGCAATCAGGCGGGGTACACCCTGGACAGAGAGCCAGTCCATCGCAGGGCAACACAGAGACACACAGGACAAACAATCATGCACACACACACACACACACACACACACACACACACACACACACACACACACACACACACACACACACCTAAGGACAATTTAGACAGACCAATCAACCTAACAGTCATGTTTTTGGACGGTGGGAGGAAGCCGGAGAGAACCCACGCATGCACAGGGAGAACATGCTAACTCCATGCAGAAAGATCCCAGGCTGGGAAGCGAACCCAGGACCTTCTTGCTGCAAAGCAACAGCTCTAACCACTGCGCAACCCTATGTGTGTGTGTATATATATGTATATATACGTATATATATATAAATTTTTTATCTCATTTTCCTTTGTGAACAATTTGATTTAATACATTAATTATATTATTCTTCATGGGGGATAGACATAAATAAGCCCATACCTTGAGGGCCGGCACGTCTTTGCTCCAACACTTCTGATAAAGCCGTTGATTCACCTGTTCAGAAGCTCATCAGGCTCTGCAGAAGCTTGTTAATCACCTGCAGATGGAAAGCAGGTGTGTTGAAGCAGGGTTGAAACTAAAAGGTGCTGGATAGCGGCCCTCGATGGACCAGGGCTCCCCACCCCTGCTCTACAGCTACATCAGTTAAGATAACTGCTGTAAATTCACAAATGTTCATTCATTCATTCTGCGTTGGTGTTCTTGGCAGTTGGGTTAGGGTTAAGGTCACCTACTTCTGCCTCTTATTAAACAGATGCATTTGCTAATAACTGTCTGTAGCTAAAGCAACTTTAGAACGAGCGCGCCAAACCATCCAGTAAAACAGTGGAATGAGTTGATGTACACAGATTTGAAAGGTTTTACTATTAAAACATATTATTTAAATGTACATCACTAGAAATCCTGTTATGTTTTAGCAGTTAGCGAGAAAACATTTGACGTGTATTTGTTGCAGTTTTAGACATATTTCTGAATGCCTTAGTCGTAGTCATCGTTGCACACATTAAACAGCTCTGACCTGAACAGGTCCCTGCCAGTGTTTACGGGTGACCTGTTGGCGGTGACAGGTCACTGAGTGGACACCAGAGTTCATTTTGGGGACTCTGAGATATTTTATAAAGCTCTAGTTAACAAGCAGTTTATAAACTTTTCTGGCGTATCAACATGCAATATGGCAGCTATGTGGGCTTATTAAAGAATGATTCAATGTAATCCATTGTTTCTGAGGGTTGTCATTGAGATAAGGATCAGCGGTGAGTGAAAACATCACGTAGCTCACCGCAGCAGGTCGAAGATTCACCAGAGAGGGAATAAACAGGCTAAATTAAGCCCAGAGCAGAGGCCGGGGCTGCAGCAGAGGGATTCAAACCCCCAACCAGAGACAGTCACACAGAAAATTCTCATGCTGTTTGGAGACAATCACCGGATTTTCTCCGAATCAAATCTCAGCATATTTTCCTGTTTGGAGCAGATGTATACTAAACAGTGGTGACCCCCCCCCCCCCCCCCCCCCCCACACACACACACACACACACACACGCACACACAGCTCCTTTAACCCTCTGGAGGCAGGCGTTGCAGATTTGCAACATTCAATTCAATTGAAAAATGCTTCATTAATGGCAGAGGGAAGTAGATTTAGACCCTACCTGGTTACTCCGCACACGCGTTTCAGCATTTTTAACTCGGAAGTTCCCCTGAAGGACTGAGGTGTTCGTCCTTTTGAGCCTGACAGGGTTAAGAGTGCAATCTGCACGTGACTCCACCAGGCCGGTCGGGGCGCATCGCTGATGTGCCGTGGAGCGTCATCCTGAACGGGTCCAGGTGTGTGTGTGTGTGTGTGTGTGTGTGTGTGTGTGTGTGTGTGTGTGTGTGTGCGTTGCCTCTACAATAAGTTGACCTCATCCATCTTGTTGATTAGAATCTGTCATCGTTGAGCGCAACAAAGGGCACAATCACGGTTATTCAGAGCGCGCGCTCTGCGGAAACAACCCGCTGAGCCTTTTCACCTCCAGAAGAACCGAGGGTGTTCATCACCTGCAGGCCGGCACCGGACTCGAGGGCTCTGAATACAAAATCTGTCAAATTAATTGATCTTGATCATTTGATCCAAATTGTGTGGATTAATAAACAAAATAATGTTGATGTTTGATTTTGTTCTCTCTGCAGCAAAGCTCGGTTCGGTCCAGTCCTTGGTTCCGTCTAACAGGCTGGGCCCGGACACAGGTCTTCAAACGAGTCTGCCTGTCTCAGACTCAGCGCCTCGCTGGTGCTAGCTCATCATCATCTCTTCTAGTAAACAACTTGTATTTATTATTTTGGGAGCTTGTTTTGAATCCTTCCTCCTAACAAACGCGCCTTATCTGGTTATTGTTTACAAAACATTCGTGTGAGGAAGCCTGGCTCGGCCCTCAGCTGCTGCTGCTTTTAAACCAAGGACAATCTTCTGATGAACGTGCAGCTTCTGTAGACCCTCCGGAGAGAGAAGTGGTCAAAAGCGTCATAATGGATAAATAATAATAATAATATAAAAATCATAATAACAATAATAATAACTAATAAAATAATAATAATAATTTAAAAAATCATAAAAACAACAACAATAATAATTATAATAATAACAATTAAAATTGAGCCGAATTTGCTTCTTCCCATCCGTTACAAATTGAAAAAAAATGGAACTTACTATAATGGAGTTCGTGCGAAATAAATAAATAAAAATAAAAATAAAAAAAGTAAATAAATAAATAAATACTATCAGCTGTGTATCTGATGTGCTCGGTGCAGCTGGAGCCCGGTCATTTAATGTTAATGGATCAAACCACGTGCATAATATTTCCTGACATAAAGGAGTTTATTTTATCTTTAGGTGTGTGTGTGTGTGTGTGTGTGTGTGTGTGTGTGTGTGTGTGTGTGTGTGAGAGAGAGAGAGAGAGAGAGAGAGAGAGAGAGAGAGAGAGAGAGAGAGAGAGAGAGAGAGAGAGAGAGAGAGAGAGAGAGAGAGAGAGAGAGAGTAGACAACAGCAGACTTGAACCCAACTCCTGAAGCTTTGGGGAATGTGATCACGTGACGTGATGGCCAGTCTGAGTTCATTAGGACTGAAAACACCTGACCGAGTTTGGATCAGAACTTATTCAAAAGAACAGCGAGTTAGACATCCACCATGACTGGCATGATGAGAGAGTGTGGGTTCCAGCCTGGTTTGATCAACAGGACACGAACCAACTAAAGTACCTCAAAACCTTAATACTAGTCACTATTATTATTATTATTATTATTATTATTATTATTATTGATAGTAATAGTGTACCTTAATAAATACATACACCTTAAAACTCTTCAATACTACTATTATTATTATTATCATCATCATAATCATTATTATTATTATTATTATTATTATTATTATTATTATTATTGATAGTGATAGTGTACCTTAATAAATACATACACCTTAAAACTCTTCAATACTACTATTATTATTATTATTATTATCATCATCATAATCATTATTATTATTATTATTATTATTATTGATAGTAATAGTGTACCTTAATAAATACATACACCTTAAAAATCTTCAATACTACTATTATTATTATTATTATCATCATCATCATCATAATCATTATTATTATTATTATTATTATTATTATTGATAGTAATAGTGTACCTTAATAAATACATACACCTTAAAACTCTTCAATACTACTACTACTACTACTATTATTATTATTATTATTATTATTATTATTATTATCATCATCATCATCATAATCATTATTATGATTATTGATAGTAATAGTGTAACCTAATAAATAAATACACCTTAAAACTATTCAATACGACTACTATTATTATTAATAATATTATTATTGTTAATAAAAAATGTGTACATCAATAATAATAAAATAGTAATCCTCGTGCCACTTTTGCTTTTCTCCAGCCGTCGCAATTGAACTTTTACCGAACAAGTAAAAATAATTGTAAAACCTTAAAATTTTGCTCCAAAAATTCAGAAAGAAGAATGAATTGAAATAGATTGTATTTAATAGTTAACAGCGTACATTTTTGTTATTAATATTAATATTTATGGTGACAGAAACCAGTAAACCGCTTTCGCTCGAAGCAGCTTTACTCTGGGAATTTGAGAGAAAAGATAAAATAAAAACACGAGACACATTTAGTGTCTGGTGTTGTAGGAAAATGATCCGTGTTTAACAGGAGAGACCTGCAAACGCACCAGCTGTTTGATGCGAACATGTATTTTTCTTTTTTTAATTAATATAGAACAACGGCTGTGGTATATAATACTAATAATAATAATAATAATAATAATAATAATAATAATAATAATAATAATAATAATAGTAAAATGATTTAAATACGCATTTCTCAGCAACATGTATATCACTGTTAAAATGCAAAACCTTCCTTCAACATTCAAAAATTAAAATATATTATTTCCTTTGCTGCCAAAAGCTTAAACTAAAACCACGAAGTGTCATTTCACGTTTCTCTCCTCGCAGCTTCTCGGGTCTAAAATATAAAACAGATTACTTCGTGTCATTTGTTTAGAAAATACAAGTTTATTAAGAAATTCACAAACCTAAAAAAGGGCAAAGTGCTAATGAAAAATGAAACATGGCCCCGAAATGAATGAGACTTAATCACGTTTATAAAAATATTAATAATAATCATAATTAGAAAGAAAAAGAAACTCCGGTTCTGCTGCGGCTTCATCTGTCCAACACGCAGAAAGATGGAACGCCCTGAATAGAGCTGGCTCTTCTCTGGCCGATTTCTACTTTTTGTATTTTCGTGACCAGAATCGATCACGCGCGAGGCTCAGAACGAGCTGATCCAGATCCACTGACTTCTGAAGAAACGTGTCCTCCTCTCACCAGACAACACTGAAGGAGCTGTGCGCAAACAGAGCACTTTTACGCACAGCAACAATCCAGTTGGAGCGACGTCAGCATGTCCAGCGACTAAAACAATCCTTTCACAAACTAAACAGAACTAAAAGCATCAGTCCGAGTTGAACTCAGGCGCACGCAGCGGATCCCAGATGCTCACGAGGCCTCTCTCCATCCCACGTCTGGTTCCGTGGACCCAAACAGCTCATCCAACTCAAAATACTGTTTTGAAATCGCATGAAACAACCGGCAGAACTTTAAATATCAATCCTCGTGTGTAACGCGGAGTGTTTGGTCTCGTGTTCCCAATAAGAGCAGTGCATCATGGACAGCTCCGGTGGCTGGCGCGAGCAGGCGAACGGGAGGCCCGCACCGTTGCTGGAGGAGACCGGAGGCGGCGCCGCGGTCACCGGGCTCAGCTGCTGCGCGTGGTGGGGATGCGCCGGGTGGTGGTGGTGACTCATGCCGTTGTAAGAGTTCACCATGCTGGGGAGCGCCATGCTCTGCACGCGGGAGTAGGGGTTGTAGGACGACGGGGCAGTCAGACCCTTCACGTTCACCGGACTCACGTTCCCGCTGGCCATCTGACAGGAGGTGTAGGACATCGGAGCCGGCGCCTGGCCCAGAGACCAGGAGTTGTTCATGAAACCGGACTGCAGGTACTTGGGCGGGGACAAGTACCCGTAGCCGTCCCCCCCAAACAAGGCCTTCCCCGGCTGGAAGTGAGTCGGGGGTGGTCTGAAAGGCCGCTTCATCCTGCGCCGTCTCCGATAGTTCCCCTTCTCGAACATGTCTTCACAAGCCGGGTCGAGGGTCCAGTAGTTCCCCTTCCTCTCGCCGCCGCCCTCCCTCGGAACCTTGATGAAGCACTCGTTGAGACTCAGGTTGTGCCTGATGCTGTTCTGCCATCCCTTCTTGTTCTTCTCGTAGAACGGAAACTTGCTGATGATGTATTGGTAGATGCCAGACAGAGTCAGCCGCTTCTCCGAGCTCTCCCGGATCGCCATGGCGATCAGAGCGACATAGGAGTAGGGAGGCTTCTGAGACGGGTCGGGCTTCTCCGTGACTTTCTCCTGGACCGGCTCCTCTTTGAGCTGCTCCTTCTCCTTGGTGCTGTTAGTGTCATGGATCATCAGGGCCATTTGGCCATCCTCCGGGCTGTAAGTGGCCATCATTGCGTGCACACGCCAAACAAAACAAGTCCAAACTTCTTCTAACTTTTGAGCGAGTGCTGCAGAACCCCGGGAAACAACTCGAGCCCAAAATGCGCGCAGAAAAATCTGAGATGGCACCCGAGCTTGTTTCTGCCTTCAGCTGGATATTTTCTACAGACGGCGCGGAGCAGGTTGTGGTCTGAGTCTCGAAGCCCGGCCCTTTTCTCTCCTCTTGTTTTTTCACATCCGCTGCCTCTGCTCCACTGCGCTCTGCGGAGCGACGTTGCGCCCTGTGATTTGCGCCTGTTTTAATTCCCGCCTCCGGTTGAGTCAATGAAAATAATAAACTCTTCTACAAGATGAAGTGTGTGTTTATTGTTGCCAAAAACAACATCAAATGGGAAGAACCGCGCACGTGCAGACCGGAGTGGTCAGAACGAATGAATGAGCCGGATGAATAAATTATTTACGCACTTAAATAATTCACGTGTCACGTGTTTTAAATGTTTTTACCACACGTGCCTACAGCTGCAGGTCAGACAAACGGAGACTGAACTTCTCTCTCATGCACGCACATTTAATAACGTGTGTTTGCAGCTTTTGGAGACCTCGGACAGCAGCTCAGCTTAATTAGCTCGCAGCGCGCGCGCACGTATCCATTTCCCTGGCCACCCATGCGGGTCCCCTCGGCCTTTCTCTAGGACTTCCGTGCTGGGAGCCCATGCAGGTGGACCAGCCCTGGCATGTTTGTCATCACCCTGCAGCCAGCCTGCAGCAGCTGAAGCGCGCGCGCGCTGAGAGCCGTCATCTCTCAGCGCGCTGTTTGCACCAACTCCCAGGTTCTTCTTGTGCGCGCGTGCGTGTTTTCTGACATCGTCATTAATGGATTTGCTTTGGAATAATTTGTCTCGGTTAAAAAACGTTTCAGTTTGTTCAGATAATTAAAACATTTATCAAATAACGTCGCGAGTCTGACAATTAATTACAGTTTCTGCA